GTGGCTGGCGCCTTAGCCGGTTGAGCTATAGGCGCCGAGCCTGTGTTTTGTTTTATAATCCATTGGTACATTAAATTAGATTACTTGGTTTGTAATGGGTAAACCAACCTTGCCTTACTGAGATAATACTCACTTGTCATGACTTATTCCCATTGTTGTATGTTGTTGGATTCAGTTTGGTAAAATTTAAGACATTTTGCATCTACGTTCATGAGGGATATTGTTCTGTAGTTATTTTTTTTTTTATATCTTTGTTTAGTTGAGTATTAGAGAGCTCTTGGCCTTTTTGAATGAATTGGAAAGTTTTCGCTCTGTAATTTAATGGATCAGGTGGCACTATAGAATTGATGTTTTATTTGAATGTTTAATAGAATTCTGCTGTGGACTTGAGTTTTATTTGTGGGAAGATTAACTACAAAGTCTGTTTCTCTCACAGATAGAGGTCTACTCCATTATATCTCTCTGAGTAAGCTTTGGTAGTGGGTGTTTTAAGGACAACTTGTAGTTCATGTAAGTTGTCAAACTATTAGTATGAAATTCTTCCTAATCTGATAATACTAGTAGCAGCTGTGGAGGTGTTACCACTTCCATCCCAGAGGCTGGTGATTTGTGTCTTCGAGGTGACACAGACACCTCTGAGCTGTGATTGTGGTTGCTGTATGCTGTGACTTGAGTCTACATGTGACTGCATGGCAGGGACACCAAAACAAGGGCTGGACAGAGCGTGCGTGTGAAGCTGGCTCAGTCTGCAGCAGCCTGTTCCTGGGTTGTTGGTGTCCTCTGCCCCTTTGTTAGTGCACTGGGTGATGTAAGACTTGTCAGGAGTGCCTGAGGAAAGAGGACAGGGGCCTTGGGAGTCTTAAAACTGCTGAAAGTAGAAAATTATAACAAGACAAAAAAATTTTAATTTTAGGGATATTTTGAAAGGAAAGTGCCATTTACCATATATTTTTATTTGCTTTTATCTTTTAGTATTCAAGCTATTTAGAACCTTAGATGGTATGCAGGGTTTTTTAAAATTTCTGTATTTCTTTCTTTCTTTTTTTTTTTTTTTTTTTGTGGAGACAGAGTCTCCCTTTACCGCCCTTGGTAGAGTGCCATGGCATCACCCAGCTCATAGAAACCTCCAACTCCTGGGCTCAGGCAATTCTCCTGCCTCAGCCTCCTGAGTAGCTGGGACTATAGGCGCCCGCCACAAACCCGGCTATTCTTTTGTTGCAGTTTGGCCAGGGCTGGGTTTGAACCCGCCACCCTCGGTATATGGGGCCAGCGCCCTACTCACTGAGCCACAGGCGCCAACCTGTATTTCTTAACTTTCAAAAATTTAACACAAAAGCTGGTTTCAGACCCTCTGCCAGTGTGTGCTGGACACTACCAAACCTGACAATTTGCTCTTTGTCTGCAGATTCTTTCAGAGCAGCTGAAACACATTCTGCCGGAGTGTTGTGTTTTAATACATTTCTACCGCTGATTTTTCTTCTCTTGATAGCTTTACCTTTAGTTCAAGTGGACGAGAAGGGAGAAAAAGTAAGGCCAAATCAGAACCGCTGCATCGTGATTCTGCGAGAAATCCCTGAGTCTACGCCCGTGGAAGTAAGTGTGCCCTGGAGGGTGCTTGGGCGCTTGCTGGGGGTCTGTGTTGGTTTTGATATTTTTTACTTCTGAGATTGTGGAGGATGTATTTTTAAGACTAAATACTTAGAGCAGTGTAGTTTGTCCAGGGTTTCCACTCACACTTTGATAGTCACAGTGTGACTCACTGTGGGAGGGAGCAGCATCCACACCCATTGGTCATGGGACCCCTTTATATGCTTTACATTAAAAAGAGAGAATTTGTGTAGTTTGATATTTAGAAATTAAAAATAAGAGGCCGGCCATGGTGGCTCATGCCTGTAATCCCAGCACTCTGGGAGGCCGAAGTGGGCAGACTGCCTGAAGCCCACGAGTTCAAGACCAGCCTGAGATAGATGGAGACCTCATCTCTAAAAATAGCTGGGCATGGCTTGGTGCCTAAAACTCAGTGGTTAGGGCACCAGCCACAGACACCAAGGCTGGTTGATGGGTTTGAACGTGGCCCAGGCCTGATAAACAACAATGACAACTGGAACAACAACAACAAAAAATAGCCGGTCAGTGTGGCAGGCACCTGTAATCTTAACTACTTGGGAGGCTAAGGCAAGAGAATTGCTTAAGCCCGAGAGTTTGAAGTTGCTGTGAACTACGGTGCCACAGCACTCTACCCCAGGGCAACTGAATGAGACTCTATCTCCAGAAAAAGAAATTAAAAATAAGAAAAAGCTTAAATATTTATTTGAAAGTAAGAAGAGTAAACCCACAAATCAAGATAAAGAGCACTTTTATGTCCCTTAATAAAGCTCCACTGTCATACTTTATTTTTTTATTTTTATTTTTTGGAGACAGAGCCTCAAGCTTTCCCCCTGGGTAGCGTGCTGTGGCATCACAGCTCACAGCAACCTCCCAAGTAGCTGGGACCACAGGCACCCGCCACAACACCTGGCTATTTTTTTTTTTTTGGTTGCAGCCGTCATTGTTTTGGCGGGCCCAGGCTGGATTCGAACCCACCACCTTAGGTGTATGTGGCTGGTGCCTTAGCCACTTGAGCCACAGGTGCTGAGCCGTGTCATACTTTAAAGATCTTGAAAAAATAATACTTTGTTTTATATGGAATCAGAAAAAACTTCGAATAGCCAAGACATTACTCAGAAATAAAAACAAAGCAGGAAGAATCACGCTACCAGACCTCAGACTATACTATAAATTGATAGTGATCAAAACAGCATGGTACTGTCACAAAAACAGAGAGGTAGATGTATGGAACAGAATAGAGAACCAAGAGATGAACCCAGCTACTTACTGTTATTTGATCTTTGACAAGTCGATTAAAAACATTCAGTCTGTCATTTTATCTTCGTCCCTCTGTGTGTAACAAGCCTTGTCTTTCTCTGTCTGCTGTGAAGATCTTATTGCTGCAGGTTTAAAGCAACTTGATTGCAGCACACCGTAGGGTGGCTTCAGCTTCCTTGCACTTGAAGTTCCCCGAGCCGTTATTTTGCAGACACTTTCTTTCTCCCTTTTGTCCTTTTTCTCAGAAAGTGTCCAGTTGGCTGTAAAGCTCATCCTGTGTAGTTCTCATTTCATACATTGTGTTTTCCATCTTTAGAAGTTCAAGTTGGGTCTTTCTAAAAAAAATTTCTTTCCATATCTCTGTTTAATATGTTCAGTTCTTTTTATCTTTTATACCATATGAAAAATTTGTATATAGTGACTCGTTGATATCTTTGAGAAATCTGTCTTTTATGTTATCTTGAGGTCTAATCCTTCTCATCATAAGTCATATTTCTCTATTTCTTTGCATATGTAGTAATGTTTGAGTAGATGCCAGGCAATTTGTTTTTTCTTTTTTTTGGCCAGGGCTGGGTTTGAACCTGCCACCTCCAGCATATGGGGCCAGTGCCCTACCCCTTTGAGCCACAGGTGCTACCCTAGATGCCAGGCAATTTGAATTTTACTTTTCCTGATAAACATTTTGAGCTGCCTTTTAGATGTAGTTAGGATACTTAGAGCCACTTGACCCTTAAGGAGTGTTCATTGGGGGAGGTCAGAGCAGCCTTGTCTGTGGGGCTCTTCGTCCCCTATCCTTCTGAGCCCTGTGCCTTTCGTCCTGTAAAGTAGGCTGCTCTGGGCTTGTCCTCTCAGTCCTGGGAAGGACCCTGTGCAGACTCACTCTGCTGGCTTTGGGGGCAGACTGCAGACATGAACCATGCACCTGTGGGCTCCCCTCATCCATGCCCCTCGGAGGGGTCACTTCATGTACTGCCCAATGCTGCTTGGTGTCTGAGAACTGATCTGTCACATAATTTTGTCTTTTATTTTTAATTGGTCACATGGGAGGGTAAATTTAGTCCTCGTTGGCCAGAAGCAAAAATCCAGATAATATTTTTTATTTCTTTAAGTACTTTTATGAAAGTTGCATAGTAATCAGCTTAGTGATAAAATGATGCAGTTTAGCTAGATGATATGTTGGGAATAGAAAAGCCTACCAGTAAACTGTATATTTCCCATGGCATTGTGAGTCTAACTTTGGGAGCTGCACTGCACCCGTTAGCCTCTTTTGAGAGAGGATTACTAGGGACTATGGTATATTGGACTTTGTTGAAGGATACATCCTTAAGGCTGAGCAAGGCGGCTCACTCCTGTGATCCCAGGACTCCAAGAGGCTGTGGTGGGTGGCTTGCTTGAGCTCAGAAGTGTGAGACCAGCCTAAGTAAGAGCAAGACCCTGTCTCTACTAAAAATAGAAAAACTAGCTGGAAGTTGTGGCAGATGCCTGTAGTCCCGGCTGCTTGGGAGGCTGTAGCAGGAGGATCAACTGGGCCCACAAGTTTGATGTTGCTGTGAACTGTGACATCATGGCTCTAGCTTCAGTGACAGAGTAAGACTCTATCTCCAGCAACAACAAAGGATATGTCTTTAAGAGATGCTTTTTAAAATTTTTCTGGTGAGAACAAAAGGTGGCATAGTTGGGAATTAATTTTTAGCATCTCTATTTGCTATAGGAAGTGGAAGCTCTATTTAAAGGAGATAATTTGCCGAAATTTATCAACTGTGAATTTGCCTACAATGACAACTGGTTCATCACATTTGAGACAGAAGCCGATGCCCAGCAGGTATGTGCCTTCACCACCCGCATGCTGGCACCAGTGTTGAGTGCCATTGCACATGGGGCTTGCTGTGGGTGTTGAGGTCAAGTGTGAGTGCAAAGTGTGGAGGGTGTCAGGGTGAGGGGCTGCAGTGGGTGTGTTTGTGTACATAGTTCTGTAACAGTAGGGAGAGCTGTGGCCTCACTGCCTGTGGGTCTGGTAAGATGAGCAGCCTGGGAAAACCAGGTCTGCTCTTGTGTCTGAGCAGAGAAAAGGTTTGCTATCTGCAAATGTTTTAGGGAAATTAGAACCTGACTGTAGTCTTTCGCAAGGCATTTTCTTGTGTTGTGAGATGCTTGTAAAGGGACAGAGAAGTTAGCTCTGTGACGAGATGTAGGAGTTAAGATCCTTTTCTTGCCCTAAGGGAAGTCCCTTGTGTGGAGACACAAATTAACACGCGTGAAGTGATCCCCTATGTTACTGTGTTGAATGGCAGAGATGTCTCCAAGGTTCAGAGGAGACAACATGAAGCTTGCAGAGAGGCCTGATCAGATAGGAGGGAGGCAGGCAGGGGAGCATGTGCTCTCTGCCCACCTGGCCCCCTGGAGGCTTCTGGGTGTGCAGCACCTTCAGAGGAGGTGAGGTTAGTGGGAATTTATTCTGGAGAACAAGGAGACGACATTACTGTGATGAACTAATTTTCTCCCTTCCTGCCTAGCATTTCCTTTCCTGAACTGTTCAGTTTCAAAGTGGGGTTAATACTAGGAACTGAGTATCCATCGCTTTCCCCTTGCTTAGGGCTCTTAGTCTGTGGTTTTGGGGAGACTTTTATGTTAATACTTATGAAATGGTATGCAAATCTCATAAGAATTTTAGCTAGAGGTTCCACGTAGCTCTTCTGAGGTTATTTTAAGGGATGTGTGACCAGGAGGGCCAGGAATCACAGGTCCCATTTACCATGCTTTAATTATGTGGTCCATATGCGAGCTGTTGAATTACGTGTCCATTCATCTGATTTATGAGGTTAACAGAGTGGACTTTCTACTTGATTTTGCTCTTAGGCTTACAAATACCTTCGAGAAGAAGTTAAAACTTTTCAAGGAAAGCCAATTAAGGTAAGGAAGACCATTGGTCATACTTTATATTTGAAAATTGATGTTTTTACAGTACTCTAATAGAAACTTAAATTTTTTTCCAACAGGCACGCATAAAAGCAAAGGCAATAGCTATAAACACATTTTTGCCAAAGAATGGATTCCGACCTCTGGACGCGAATCTGTACACGCAGCAGCGCTATGCGGCATCCTTCTACTTACCGCCAGTGTACAGTCCCCAGCAGCAGTTTCCCCTATATGGGCTGATTGCACCCCACACGTGGTCCGCAGCGCACAGCTATCTCGACCCACCTTTGGTGAGCCTCGTCTTTGCCCATGTTGCAGACACTGTCCTAGTTTCTCGGAGGACTAAGTTCTAGTCCTGGGAAACAGACCTGGACAGTACGCAGTGGGTGTTCAGATGAGGGGGCACTCAGCACAGGGCTGCACCATAAACTCTGGAGAGCTGCAATGGCAGCTCCTGTCTGGTGGCCCCTCTAAGTAGTGCCGTCTGCAGAAAGACCCAGAGTACGGCTCCAGTGCTCCTGAGCACAGAGGGAGATGCAGGAGATGTGCTGAGGGGAGAGAGAGGGTTGAGGTCTTCTCTCAGTCAAGGGTGAGTGAAGACTCACTGAATCTTCACTAAGTGAACTTAGCTGTGCATTACATCTCACCTGCTTTAAAGGTGGTTGCAAGAATGATCGATTTTGAGACAGAGTCTTACTCAGTTGCCCTGGAATAGAGTTCCATGGTGTCATAGCTCACAGCAACCTCAAATTCTTGGGCTCAAGCGGTTCTCTTGCCTCAGTCTCCCAAGTAGCTGAGACTACAGGCTCCCACCACAACAACTGGCTTTTTTTTTTTTTTAGAGATGTGGTCTCACTCATTCTCAAACCTGTGAGCTCAGATGATCTGCCTGCCTCAGCCTTCCGGAGTGCTGGGATTACAGGTGTGAGCCACCATGCTCAGCCTAGTTGGCAAGATTAATGTTCTCAGATCCTGGTATTTGTTGGGACCCATGGCTGGAATTCATGAATTTGTAGTGGATAAGTTGTTTTCTCCCTTGGCCCTGCTGTTTGTGCTAGGGAGGGTAGTCTTGATGGGGAATTAGCAGGAGTGGCGCGTCCTTGTGGCCCAGGTGCAGACAGGTGGTCCTGGCGAGGAATTAGTATGAGGGGTGGTGCCTCTTTATAGTACACCACGCTGGGCTCACAGGTGGAGATGTGTGTGAGGTGGCCACACAGGGCAAGTCATGGCAAGAGCAGTGGGGGCGGGACGTATTTGGGGGTGGTCAGGGCACAGACATTGAGTTAGTGTCGTTGGGAAGAGTGTGCATTCAGTATATAGCATAAAACTGATCAGGGAGGGACGGGGGTGGTACTCTGGGTCTGATGGCTGGGAGCCAGAAGCCTGTTGCACAGGTGTCACTGCCAATAGCAGAGAAAGAGGGTCGGATGGAAGAGGGAGAACATGGGGAAGTCTGGATTCAGTGTGAGTCACTGCTGCCTGCTGCACACTGGGCAGTGAGGAGACAAGTGTGGGGAGCGGGTGATGATTGTGGAAACAGACATGTATTAACTGACAAACTTATAATTAGAGTCTGTATCATTCTCTGAGTTTATCAGAAGGGGTAAGAAGAGAAGTTTTCTTTTTTCTTATGGGGTACAGTCTCACTTTATGGCCCTTGGTAGAGTACCGTGGTGGTGTCACAGCTCACAGCAACCTCCAACTCCTGGGCTTAGGTGATTCTCTTGCCTCAGCCTCCTGAGTAGCTGGGACTACAGGTCCCCACCACAGTACCCGGCTATTTTTGTTGTTGTTGTTGCAATTTGGCCGGGGCTGGCACACTACCCACTGAGCCACAGGCGCTGTCCCTGAAGAGAAGTTTTCAAAGAACAAACAGCAGGAGCAACCCCAGCCAGATGGGACCCTAACCTCTGCGCCCAGGCCTGGCCTTGGCCATGAGGAGCAGGCACCAGGTTGGAGAGACCAGGCCCTGCCTGCATGCAGGCTCTGGACTTTTCCTGAGCATGTGGGTTTTTACTTTGTGGCATGTGAGAAATCGTCCCAAGTTTCTTAGCAAGGAAATGAAGTCAGACTCTCCTTAGAAAAGAGCTCCTAGACCCTGTGAGGGACAGGCAGGGACGGAGATTCTCAGAGGGGTCCATGATGCCCCCACAAAGCAGGGGCCCTTGCAGTGAAAGAACTTTTGGCATGCAGGCAGTTAAAGTCAGACTGAACTTCTGTGTCTGTCTAGTGACCCTGATGGTAAGGAAGCTTCTTTGGAGTGTTGCTCCCTTCTGTAAGAGAGTGTTTATCACTGTGTGCTTCCTTTTCACAGACATGTGTCCCAGGCACCTGTAGGAACTTAAGAGGTGCACCTGCTGCCCAATGTGGCCCCCCCCCCCCACTGCTGACTACCTGCCTGTCATGGCCCTTTCTTCTGCAGGGATCTCTTCGGATCCTGGTCAGCTCTGGCCTTGACATGATTGCTCAGTCAGGTCACCATTTGTGATGCTGCTGGGCCTGCCACCCGCTTGGGATCACCTGGGAACAAAAGCAAGCTACTGCCTCCTGGTCCCAGCAGTCAGGGTATTAAATGATCGTGCTACTCATCAGTTTTATTTTTTGTATACCCTATTGTGTTGTATTTTATTTTAATTATTTATTTTTCAGACAGTCTCACTCTGTCACCCTGGGTAGAGTGCAATGGCATCATAGCTCATAGCAACCTCAAACTCCTGGGCTAAAGCAGTCCTCCTGCCTCAGCCTCCTGAGTAGCTGGGACTACAGGTGCTACCACAATACCCAGCTAGTTTTTCTATTTTTAGTAGAGATGGGGGTCTCACTCTTGCTCAGACTGGTCTCAAACGCCTAAGCTCAGGCAGTCTACCCTCTTAGCCTCCCAGAGTGCTGGGATTACAGGTATGAGCCACTGTGCCTGTCCCCAATTTTATTTTGTTGGCCAATACCAGAGTTCTGTGTGTAAAATTACACATGTGAAATAGTCTTTGTTATATAGTCTTAGCTGTGGTTTATAAACTATAAAATCTAAATCTGAATTCATGGCTTTCTTGGTGTGATATAGTTTTTGAACAGTCTGATTCTTACAGTCTATAGTGTTTCTTGAGTAGTAAATTAGAGATTTTAACAAAGTTTTAAGCATTTTCCTTTCTTTGGTTTAATTTTTGTTGAAGTCAGGGAGTGATTTGGTCCTAAGCTATTTCTAATACCCTTTTTTAGTTATATCTTCCAATGAGCTCCAGTTAAGCAGGATTACTTTCCCCTTTTTTTCAGACAAGGAGGGGTCTATGCATATCTCTGCCAGTTCAGGTAAAATATTGGGTGGGGAGTAGGGTCCCAGGGAGCCCCACACTGCTGAAGGGACATCAAGCATGTGGGTGTGGAGCCGCAGCTCAGAGGGCAGAAAATGTGATCTCTTTCTTTATAATTTTTTTTAAAAAAACTATTTGACACTAAGTTTTATCTTATTTCTGTATGTGTCTAGGTTTTAAGAATAGTTCGCTGGTATTTAAATTTTATGCTTAGTATTCTTAAGTTTTGAAGGTTGCATTTAGGGTTATATACTCCGTGTATCCCTTTCTGATTTCCTTCTGAATCTTATGTCAGTGTATTTGTGTGCCATGTGCCACCTAAACTGTGACTTGGGGAATAATAATTTATGATCTGAAATATCTGGTCTTCGTAACAACACTTGCATGGAGGCAAAGGTTAAAAGCAGCCCTCAAAGGTGGTGGCTATGAAGGCAGCCATGTTGGTGGGGTGGGTCTGTCCATGGTCCTGAGGGTGAATGTCAGTGGACTTGACTGAAGTCACCAGGAGTGGTGGGGAACCGTGTACTTACTGCCAGTAGTGGAAGTGGTGTTGTGAGCAGCTGTCAGGGTACAGGTCTGGGCCTGTTCAGACGAATGTGTTAAAGGTCAGGAGCCTGTGATGCCCAGCAAGTCTCTGCACTCTTCTTGTCAGGGTTTGTGTGTGTCAGTCGTGTCTTCCATGGGCCACTGTCAGGGCATGCTGATGGGTGCAGAAAAGGGGCTGACCACCAGCCAAACAAATGCTACTCATGCCTGATAATTGCACAAAGCGCTTTTCTCAATTTGTTATAAGTGTCACCTGGGGCAACCCATCACTTGAAGACCAAGAAATGACCTTAGTTAGCACAGATACAGCAGTAGTAACTGGATCCAAGTCTGTTTTGTGGTTCGTTTACTTTTTTTTTTTTTTTTTTAATGAATCTAGGTAACTCCGTTTCCAAATACTGGATTCATAAACGGGTTTACGTCTCCAACATTCAAGCCTGCAGCCTCTCCTCTGACTGCACTGAGACAGTACCCTCCCAGGAGCAGGCAAGTCCCCAGGAGGGCCCAGTGCTTGTGAGCTACATGGCATGGGTACCAGGACCTGTAAAGAGCCACTCAGCCACTGGGCATGTGCAGAGTGCCTGTCGGGTTAAATGCTAACGTCTGCAGTAGTAGCCACATAAAGGACAGGTTTTCTTCAAAGAAGGCTTTTGGAGCAGTTTGCATGTGCTCTTTGTTCCTGCTTTTTAATTTGAACGTGGACCTTAATTGAAACAGGGCCTCAGTACACTATTGAGAGATTTGTACCATCCTGTATGTTCTGTGCTAACCTTGGCGAGTTAACATTTTATATCTTATTAAGTAGAAAACAGCTTTTAGCTTAGATATTCCTTATTAGCATGCTCATTTTGTGATGCCTGGACTGTCTTATAACTGAGCTTATGCACACATTTTATTTACAGGAATCCTAGTAAATCTCATCTGCGCCATGCGATTCCTAGTGCAGAGAGAGGACCCGGATTATTAGAAAGCCCTTCCATATTTAACTTCACTGCGGACCGATTAATTAATGGTGTGCGGAGCCCACAGACGAGGCAAGCAGGTCAAGCCAGAGCACGGGTGCAGAACCCTTCAGCATACACCAAGAGAGAGGCTGGCACCGGGCGCGTGGAGCCCAGCAGCCTCGAGTCTTCCCCTGGGCTAGGGAGGGGCAGGTGAGTTGGTGGGCAGCTGCTGTGTGCCTGTCAATAAGCTATTGATATTTTTTAAATCCTTTAATTTAGATATGTTTTACAACTTTTTTGAAATGTGTCATAGAAGATTAAATTGAAGGCTATAACATCAAAGGTTTTATGTAATTGTTGTGAGTGGCACTTTTATAGCAGAAACCTAAATGGCTTCATGTTTTTTGTAGTAAGTTATTCAACCAGAGCTGCAGATGGACTCAGACTCTGTCATGTCACAGTCACTGTAGCAGGCTGGGAGCTTGGCCGTCAGGATTCTGGGCACCAGCAATTTCTCTTCACCATGTCGTAGGCCCCCGTCTCTCCTGTGCACCTGCCCCAGCTCCTAGCCTTGGTTTTCCAGCCAGGTTGCAGTGAAGTGCAGCAGACAGCCAGAAGGGAGAACAGCATTTAAATCCGTTCCTTCTAAATGTACAGGGAATCCCAAAGGTTACCCCTAAAGTCTTCATAGATAGAGAAACTGGAAATTGTAGCAAAATGTTCCTTTATTTACAAAGTAGTCATTACAACATTTTACAAAATGTTCTCTACATGTTGCTCACTTTGTGGTAAAATTGTTGTAATGACTATTTTGTAAATACATTTAGCTACATTTTCCCATTTTCTTATGTATGGAGACTTTTGGAATGACTTTTAGGACACCCCGCATTTAAAACAAGTTGCTGGGCAGCGCCTCTGGCTCAAAGGAGTAGGGCGCCAGCCACATGTGCCAGAGGTGGCAGGTTCAAACTCAGCCCTAGCCAAAAACTGCAAAAAAAAAAAAATAATAATAATAAAGTTGCTACCGTGAGGTGCTGTTGCCACCTATGCCATCCTTGGGTGAATGTCCTAAGACCCTCAGCACCTGTTGCATCCCCTGGGTCCCTCCTGGAACCTCATGGCAGCAGCCCAGATCCATGTCCTCCCCTGCATCCTTTGACATGGCTGGTTCTCGCCGGCTCTGCCTTGCCTTCTGCCAGAGAAGGCTGGTGGAATAAGCTCTTCTGTGTGCCCAGTGTGGAGAGTGTCGCTTGTCTTCTCCGTGGCTGACTTAGTGAGCACCTTCAGGGCCTCCCTCTGTGGAGGGATGACTATCAGCTTTACCTTCCTGAGCTTTTTCTTTATCTTAACCTAACTTGAAAAATTTAAACGAATTTATTCCTAAGTTTTCCATATACAGAGTATTTGGCTCAGTGTCACACTTGGAGAAGCATTGGTTGTTCCTCCCTCTGCTAGGTGTGAGCTTTCAGTGCAGTGTGAGGCTCATCTGCCTGTAGCACCCAAACCCTTCTGTGAAGCCCTGGTTGGAGGAGAGGTGGAGTGGCTGGCATCAGGCGGTGGGCTCTGTCAGGAAGCTGTTGAGCCCACTGTCTGTCAGATGACATGGCCTTGGAGCTGGGGCTGCAGGTACTGGAGGAGGAGGAGGCAAGCAGACATGGGCACAGGCAGAGTCAGCGGCTATAGGAGCAGCCCAGGCCTGAAGTGCTGGGACTCAGACCTCTAGAGACAGGGCAAGTGGCTGAGGGCACAGACAGGATGGCAGGGCCCCTGTGTGTGTCCTCCAGCAGCATTTTAGTTTCTCAGTTCAGCTTTTGCAAGTGTGTGCTTTTGCCTGACTGATACACATTTTGTACAAATGGAAGCCCTTCCCTGTCTCCTCAACAAATACTGTCCTCTCCTATAATGATCCAAAACCTAAGGACTGCAGCCATAGGCAAGACAGCAGGAGAGAGCATGGTTAACGTGCTCCCATGTGTGCATGGAGCCCTGTCTAACACCAGTGAGGCCTGAGTGCCCAGACCCTCAAGAGGGACCTGCAGTAGACCTGCCCCTCACCCTACCCAGAGGGTTTGTTTTGTTTCCCATTTATCTGTTGGACCGAGGCACGTAGAGGACCCGAGCACCTCCACGCCCCCTGCTTCTCTACCTTGTGCACGGTAGCCACAGCAGGTACCTTGTCGTAGCCAGGGTCAATGGAGTGAGGGCCCTGGTGCCAGGTGGCAGGGCTGCCTCGGGATTCACTGTTGTCGCCTGAAGAAGGCTTTCCTCCTTGGGTCTGAGGCATCAGAACAACACATTCAGAGTTAGGGGCTGCCACAGAGATTTATCCTCCTGCTATGGGCCATGCTGCCCCATGCCGTCCCTTGTGACGGGGACACACCCCAGTGCTGCTGACCTGTGCTCTTGTGTGGTGGATTTCCAGGGCTCATGTGGTTTTCTGTAAGTAAAGAAATGCATAAAGTTATTTTTAAGCTCCTTTCCATCTTAATAAGAGCCTTAGGACATTCTTTAGATTCAGTTGAAATAATAATGGAATTAATAAACAAAATTAGACATTGAAATTAATGTGTGATTTGCTGGACCTCATGAGCCCTCCAGGGCCACAGAAGTGTCATGGCCATCTTGTGTCCTCAGCGTATTGGAAACTGCCCCCCCCCTTTTTTGCAGTTTTTGGCCGGGGCTGGGTTTGAACCCACCCCCTTTGGTATATGGGGCTGGCACCCTACTCCTTGAGCCACAGGTGCTACTGGAACTGCCCCTTTGTAAATGTACTGGGCAGCCCTGAACCACCGCATGTGCCACGCTGTGCTTCCTGCAGGGCTCTGATGGTGACAACAGGGGTGCAGTGCATAGCTCTGAAGAGAGCACGTGAGCTCAGAGGCCTTGTGTGGCTCTCGCAGGGAAGGGAGACCTCTGAGCAGTGAAGGCTGAGCCTGGGGAGGGGAGCAGGTCACTTGGGGTCTTTTAAATTTTGCTTATAAGCAAACATACACTCAGTAAATTCACACTACCGTTTTAACTCACCTGTGTATCAGCTTATGTATATCTGCCATTCCAACTGAATAGATTGTCACATGTTCATATCCTAGCAAGAATTTTAAGTAGCCACTAGGTTAAATTCTTCTAATAAATGTTTTTCTTCTTTTATTTCCCTGTCTAGACATCAGTGTTTATCCATTATTCTAAACTTTTTGTTGTTTCACTGGTACTTTTTAAGGTTGGGATTTTAGAATCAAAAGTCAACTTTGAAGGATCACAGAGGGAAAAAGACCGAGTCAGTGCTTGCTTGAGTATGTGTGTGGGGAAAGTTTCTAGCTAGGAAAGATTAAAAGTCTTTTATTTTTATTCCCGTAGGAAAAATTCCTTTGGCTATCGGAAGAAAAGAGAGGAGAAGTTTACAGTGAGTACATGGAGCTTGCGTCGTTGCTGTAAGACACTTAGATCTCGTTTGTACCAAACAAAGATGAGGGTTAATTAGATGGATTAAGGGTAAGACCTGAGACGGAGCCTTTCAAGAGACCTTTTAACATGAGATCCATCAAGTAATAAGTAACATTGTCAGCATAGCCTGAGGGACGAGGTGGTGGAGGTTTTAGAAGTGCCAGTGGCCAACCTGTCTCTTAGTGTGACCCATGCCCAGCCTGTGCCTTGGAGCTTGCAGCCAGAGCTTCCACTTAAACATGCTACAGCAGGCATTCAGGTGTCGGGATGGGTTCTGGTGTGGGGTAGCCATGCCCAGAACTTGGAGTAACTGGAGTTCTTAGTTCTGACAAGCAGAATGCGCATCTCCCATGGGGGGCCTTGTTCACCAGTGCGTGCCCAGTGAGTACATAGCCTCACAGCCTTTGCTGTGATGTCTGGCAGGGCAGAGCCCAGGAGAGTGGCAGCGCACACGTGGGGAGTGCTCAGACTGGCGAGATGGAGTTCTACCTGCAGGCTCTTTTTGTGCTAGGCTTTGATGGAGGCTGGTGTAGACTTTTTGTCACCCCGGCTGGGGGGACATCATGGCAGAATCAGCAGAGTTCCAGGAACTGGACAAGACCTCGACAAACTCCTGGTCCAGCCTTGACTAGTCCTTTGTGTTTCTCATCACAGCAGACATTCTCTTTGTCTGAAACTTAGAACTTCTGTTTTTGATAAGGTTGGCTTAGTCTACTTTGGGTAAGCCTTCATGAAGGCAGAATTCCTGGCTCGGCGCCTATGGCTCAAGCGGCTAAGGCTCCAGCCATATACACCTAAGGTGGCGGGTTCGAATCCCCAGCCTGGGCCCGCCAAACAACAATGATGGCTGCAACCAAAAAATGGCCGGGCGTTGTGGCGGGCGCCT